TTGGCACAGGAATTATCTGGGAGTTGAAATCTGAAAGAGATGATGCAGGGAAACTGAAAACTTAAGAGAAAGGCATGATGAGCAGTATTGACAGTAGGATAAATTTAGGAAGTCTGTAGTGTCGCTGTTGCCCAGATGAAATGTACGGGACAACTGTGGCGGTAGTAGTGTGGACTAAAAGAGAAGATAGACTTCGTAGGGTTTGTCTTCAAAGCACTTGGTGATTGCCTGGATGCGGAAGATGGGAGAGAATTTTAAATGACTCCCACAGACATGGCTTTCCAACAGTGGAAACAATTGCAAAAGATAAAAAGTTCTCATCACTCTCAAGAATCCAAGCAGAAAGCCAACATCGTCTCTTATCTGTGTTTTTCATAAGGATAAATAGAAGGTAGGTTGAATTGGCAATTCTCTTTTCCCCATTTGAGTCCTTCATTGTGCTGACCTATATGGTAGAATATGTTTGTGTGTATGTGGAATGGTGCCACTTATCAATCAATATATTGTCTCAGCTCCAAATTCACCTTTTGTTGCCTGATTTGTGAAAGTGGATCTAGGCCCTTCAAAGTACCCCTTTCTCCTCCCCTTGGCCAGTGCAGTTTCTCCCTGCTAAATGCCTGCAGGACACAGCTTCCTCCACCGATTGGCCACCCTCTGTTTTCTCCAGCTCTCTACTTACGCAGTGGTGGCTTAGTTGGGAACCCAAACAGCACAGGCTTGTGACCTGCCTAGGTCACTGCTCTTGTACCCTCTCTTCAGCCCCCTGGGGAACATACCCTGGGACCTCACTGGACTGGCTTTCTGGCAAGCAGATCACCTGATTTGCATCCCATGCAGAGGCCAGAGCCTCCCCAGCCTGGTTGCTGCTCCCCAGACCCGCTCCTCAGCTCCATGTGCATGCGCACCAGGGTCCCAGCAGCTACTCTTGGATGCCCAGCCCGAGCTGTGTACAGAAGTACACTAGGTTCTTACAGCTTTTCAGCCTCCATTTCCGGCAGTGCCTATATCAGTGTCCTGACCTCCTCTACTCACCTGCCCATCAGCCTCAGTTCGCTTGTGCCTCACAGGTTTGTTTGCTGCAGCCCTTCAGATGCAGACACTGTGTGGTCCAGGCTTTGTGTAAACATCAACACCCTGCCTTTGTACACCCAGCTGGCTCTGTGTACCTGCCTACTGGTTTCGGCTTGCCTATGTTCCAGGCAGTTATTCCTGCTTGCCTGGTGACTGTAGACCAGCTCTGGCCTGTGCAAAGCACCCCCTACCCCAACTTTTCCATCACCCAGTGGTCTGTAACCACACCTCCAGTGAGGGCTGAACCCCAGCCTTGGGGAGGGAAGTTTCCTTCCAGGTTTATCCTTCCTTAGTACTCTCCCTCAGCTGAGGGTTTTCTTTCAATATTGACAATTACTCTCCTATGATTACATAATAATTCTTTATGTTAAATTTTCCATTTAAATTACTGTGTGGTTTGTGTCTCCTCATTGGATCCAGACTGATAAAGATATAAATGTGTGTTTTGTAGTTTTTATATGCGGGCAACTTTTGATGGCATTTATTCAGTGCATCCATAAGCCAAAGGAACAATGCAAGTCACAGTTATTATTAATGCTTCCTGGGGCTCTGGCCATGAACTCAGACACAGAAATCTAATGGTCTAGACCAGGGATCCCTAACCCACAGGCCGCAGACCGGTACTGATCCTTGGCCTGTTAGGAACCGGGCTGCACATCAGGAGATGAGTGTTAGGCGAGCGAGTGAAGCTTCATCTGTATTTGCAGCTGCTCCCCAGCGCTAGCATCACTGCCTCAGCTCCGCCTCAGATCATCAGGCATTAGATTCTCATAGGAGCACTGGTCCCTGGTGCCAAAAATGTTGGAGACTGCTGGCTAGACCCAGGATGGCAAACTACAGCCTGAGGCTGAATCTGGCTTACCATCTGTTTTTGTAAGGCCTGTGAACTAAGAATGGTTTTTCTATTTAAAGGATTGAAAAGAATCAAAAGAAGAATAACATTTATGGACACATGTTTGTGTCTATAAATAAAGTTTTATTGCAACACAGCCACACATTTGTTATGTATTGTCTATAGCTGCTTTCGTGCTATAGTGGTTAAGTAATTGCATTAGAGACCATATGGCCCACAAACCCTAAAATACTACCTGACCCTTAACAGAAAAATTTTCCTAATCCCTGATCTAGACTGAACCTTGGGAACACTTTAGCAACTCTTTAACCCCGTGCTCTGGAATTCATGACCCTTCTATCTCTTTTTGTAGAAATTGACAAGCTGATTCTAAAATTTATACGGAATTTCAAGGATCTAGAGTGCCAAAACAATCTTGAAAAAGAAAAATTAGGAGGACTCACATTTTCTGATTTCCGAACTTACTACAAGGCAATGATATTGACATAAGGATAGACATATAGATCAATGAAATAGGATTGAGAGGTCAGAAATAAAACCTTGTGTTTATAGTGCCAAGAGGATTCAATGGGGTCTTTTCAGCAAAAATGGTTCTGGGACAACTGGATATGTACCTGCAAAAGAATAAAGTTTGACCCTTTTGCCATATATAACTAAAAATGCATCAAAGATCTAAATGTAAGAACAAAAACTAGAAAACTATTAGAAGAAAACATAGGGCAAAATCTTCATGATCTTGGATTTGACAAAGGCTTCTTAGATGCGCCACCAAAAGCATGAGCAACAAAAGAGAAAAAAGATAAAGTGAACACAAAATTAAAAGCTATCGTGCAGGACATTATTGAAAAAGTGAAAAGGCAATCCACAGAATGAGAAAATATTTATTAATCATATATTCGATATGAGATATGGGACTTGTATCTAGAATATGTAAAGAACTCTTAAAACTCAATAAGACAGATAACCCAAGGATGATACACAAATGGCCAATAAGTACATGAAAAGATGCTCAGCATCATTAGTTATCAGAGAAATGCTAACCGAAACCACAATTAGATAGATACCACTTCACACACTAGAATGGCTGAATCCAAAGTCAATAAGTGTTGGTCAGGATGTGGAGAAATCAGAACCCTCATACACTGCTGGTGGGAATGTAAAATAGTGCAGCCACTTTGGAAAAGACTGATAGTTTCTTAAACAATTAAACAGAGTTACCATATTTCATTTCATTCAGGTCTCTGCTCATGTGCCACTCCTCAGAGAGGCTTTCCCTGACCATCTAGACAAAGTTGTGACCCATCACTCTTAGTCTCCTTACCCTATTTTTTTTTTTTTTCATATCTAATGTTATTTTCTAGAACTTACTTGGTTTATTGTCTGTCTTTCTCACTAGGACATAAGTTTTTTCATGGAAGGGACTTTGTATCTCACTAACAATGCATGGTTTTAGTAGGTGCTAAATAAATATTTTAAGAAAGCATGCTTGAGTGATATGTTAGGAGGCAGGGTAACTTGATAGTAGCTAGGGAGCCAGATGGTATTATTTTCCTGTTCTGACTCTGCCACCTTGGGCAGGAGAATTCATCTCTCTGAGTCTCCATTCTCACCATCTAAAAATTGACAGTAACAGGACAGAACATACATCTTAGGGTGGTGTGAGGATTACAAAGCCCTGAAGTGAAAGCTTTCCTTGCTGGGTTTGAGGGACAGCAAATTGACTAGTGTGGCTGAAGGATGATGAATAAGGGGAACGTTGAAGGAGATGAGGTTGGAGAGGGATGCAGGGCTAATTTTATTCCATGTGTGCTGGGAAGTTATTGGGAGATGGAGAGCAGGGCAATGATATCATTTGATAAAAACCCAGAACATCTGGTTGTTCTGAGAGCAAGAGAGGAGGCAAAGAGAACAGTCAGGGGACCATTCAATGATCCAAGACAGAGATGATGGTGACGAGGACTAGTGTGATAGCAATGGAGCAGGGGACAACAGTAAGATTCAAGACATTTTGAAGGCAAGGTCCATAAGATGTGCTGATTGATTATGAGATGGGAGAGAAAGAGAGGAATCAAGGATGCTACCAAAAACTTCTGAGATGGAGAACATTGGTAAGAAGTGGTTCTGGGAAGAAGAGTAAATAGAATCAAAAGTTCAGTTTTCAACGTTTAATTTTGTATACCTATTAGACATCTATGTCAAGGAGACGGCTGGCTATAAGAGATCAAGTTAAATAAAGAAACCAGGGTTAGAGGAATAAATTTGAAAAACTTGAGTATATAGATAGCATTCAAAAGTCATGGATGGGATCGATTGATTCATTTAAATATTTATTAAGCACTTGTTTTGTGCTAAGCAGATTTCTAGGCACTATAATAATGAACAGTACACAAAAATCCATACTGTTGGAACTTAGATTCTAATGGTGAGGGATTAAAAAATAACAAAAGTATATAGTATGTTAGCAATCAGTGTTAAAGAGAAAAATAAAACAGGGAGGGGTGGGAAGGTTGCAGTTTTAAACAGATTGGCAGGTAATTCCTCAGTGGGAAACTGTTATTTGAACTTAAGTCTTTTGAAGTTGAAAGCATGAATCAATCACGTACCTGGACAACTAGCATTCCAGGCAGAGGCAACAGCAAATGCAAAGGTGCTGGGCAGGAGCACGTCTAGCAAGTTCACGGAAAAGCAAGGATAGTGATTGTAGAGGAGAGATCCGAGGCTGAATGGTGGGAAGTGAGGACAAAGTGTTAATGGGCGGGAGCGGGGAAGGAGGGGAAATCATGCTGAGTATGAGCAGCTCACGTTCGAAGCCGCTTACGTGCGGAGCAGATCTCGCGCCGAGCAGCTCTCGTAGAAGGTGTCCAAACAATCCTAAACTAGTACAAGAGGTTCAGTTTATGTTAGCCCCACCCCAAACCCCGCCCCAAGCCCCGCCCCACCGTAAGATCGCAACTCCGCGTCGAGGACGGAACTCAAGGGCCCGGCTCTGGGACCGGAAGTAGCTTCCTACCCGACCCCATTTTGCCCGCGGCTGCATTTCCGGTAGCGGCGGCGGGAAGCGGGCTGCTGGCGGTCGTCTAGGCCTCAGTGTAGACGAATCCGGCAGGAATCAGAGCCATCAGAACCGCCACCATGGTGAGGAGGCGCAAGGCGGCGTCCCGGGAGCCTGTGAATCTGTTGTGTAGGGGGGACCGGGGCTGATCGGGGAGGAAGCCGCGGTTGGCCGCTCATAGCGGTGAAGGCCCGGGCCGCGGCCGCCCCGTCTGTGCACGGAAGACCTCGGCCGTTCGGCAGGCTGGGGGAGGGGAAGGCTGGAACTGAGGGACGGAGGCCTAGGTCGCTCGGTGGGGGCGAGAATGGAACTGCGATTCTCCACGCCGCTGTAGTCACAGTATTTGGGATCTTGTGGATACTAAATAAACTTTTGCGGAAGAAATGTGTCTGGGATTTTGGAGCAGGCCCTAGAGTTGCAGGACAACTAGGGAAGACCTGGAAAGAGGTTCAGACTTGTGAAGGGAGGGAGTGAAGGTTTATGTACCATTTATTGAGAGGGAGTTGTGAAAAGACGTGCAAGGGCTTGTGGCCAAAACTGGAGCGTGTTCTTGGGTCTAGTAGATGGGGGAGGAGGGAACGGTAGGGTGAATGAGAATATTTGGGGGAAGAGTTGAACTTATTTCTTCAGCATGTATTTAAGTACGCCTCACGTTGTAGGCGCCGGGGCTGCACAATGAAATGTTTCCTTCACTGAGTTCACTTTCTAGTTGGGATAATATAATTCAGAAGCATTTAGTAAAAGTAACGGGGGGTGGGGCGGGGTAAGAATGCTTTCAAGAGTAGATGATTCTAGACCAGAGCTGCAAAAGATTGTTAGGTGTTTTCCCAGCGAAAATGGAAGGGGATATTACCGATACAAAGGATGTAAAAGCAAGGCATGAAGGGTAGCATTATTGAAAGTTTCTGGAGGGAGAAAGGGGGGAAGAGCTGAAAAATGAGATGGGAGGAATTGGCTGGAGCCTGATTACTAAAGGCCTTAATCCTGCTGGTGATGAGGCATGCCATTGAAAGATTTTTAACCAGCAAAATGACATGAACTTGTGTTTAGAAAGATCACTTTATTCTGTAGCTGTTACGTGTATGGTGAATAAAAACAGGAAAACCTAGTAGGATATTGTTTGAGGGAATTGGATTAGTAGAGTAGGCACTGGATTCAGGCTGATTAAGTTCCAGCACAGCCTCATGGCTGTGAAACGGGGCAAGCTATTTCACTTCTCCCAGCCTCAGTGGCCTCATCTATAAAATAGGAACAATAATAGGGCTGCTTTTGAGAATTAAATGAGATTTAATGTGCTTATCACAGTGCCTGGTATATACAGTGAGCACCCGGTAAGAATTGACTATTACCGGGTAGACCAAAAAATGTTGCCACGAAAGTTCTGTGTGGCTAGAAGCTGTGTGATTACAAGCCAGTTAAAATGGTTATCTGAGAGACTGAACCACATAACCTGGGTCTCCAAGGTGGAAGTCAAGGTTCTGATCCACACTTGTAGGTCCAGAAGCTCGTTCTTGTCCAAGCTCACAGAGATGAACAGCGTATACAGGCCTGGGACATAAAAGGCAGTTGGATGTGTTAGAACTGGCACATACCAGTCAGACTGATGGGAGGCCGATACACAGATCAAATATAGGTCATTTCTAGAGAGAAATATAACTGCCAAGGGTAGCCGACAATTCACACTGTAATGTTTGTATAGTTTATTTTAGCAAAGCTACATCGGAAGCCAAGCTATAAAGCAGAAAAGGTTGTTGGATTGATTAATTGGTATAGCAAGTTTTATATTCTTAAAGACCATTATGTGTTCAAACTGTTTAGCACCCTGGCCAGCAGAAAGTTTCCCTTCCAACCAAAGGTAGTCTTGGAGACGCACTAACAAATCCTCGTTTTGGGGATTCCATTCTCACCTCCAAGCTGATCAGCTCATTTCTGATAAGCTTCTGGTGGGTTGGATTTTTTGTGCCAGTCCCATTCTAGTTCTTCCTTTACTCAGTGTTTTCAATGGGATATGAGTGTTCCATAGCACTGGAGTCACACACCTATAATCTGCAATGGCAGATGGCTAATCTCTGGTATGAATGGATTGGATTAGTTCGGAGACATTTTACATTCATCTCTGAAACACAGCCTAAGCAAAGGCAATTGAAGTATGAGATGATTCGAAGGGAAAGGGGAGTAACAGTAGTGGACAGAGGTCAGGGCTGAACACAGGGTGACATGGGAGAATTACTGGGAAAAGGCTGTGGCTGAAAGATAACTGAGAATCTTTTGAGAAAGCTACATATGGAAAAGAGGGCTGTAGCAGAGTTTTGAGGAAGGACTAGGAATATGTGGGTCCCAAAGAGCTGAGTCTCATCCCTGCCGATTTCTCCTTGCAGACTGTGGGCAAGAGCAGCAAGATGCTGCAGCACATCGACTACAGGATGAGATGCATCCTGCAAGATGGTCGTATCTTCATTGGTACCTTCAAGGCTTTTGACAAGCATATGAATTTGATCCTCTGTGACTGCGATGAATTCAGGAAGATCAAGTAAGGAGTGGGCTGTGTGGGGAGGGATTTGGATTGGGGGGTAGGTTGGGTGGATGGGCCAAGTGACAGGTGGTGATGTAGCTAGGTGGTTTCTGTCAGTTTGCTCTCCTGTTTTTGAGGGCAGATTTAAATGGGGACATTGGACAGTAAGAAATCTCCTTCCTTTAGCTCAGCAAGCCTTGCTCTGTAGTTCTAGCAGATTACAAGTTGTAAGGAGGGCTGGTAGGCTTTTTGTTTCTCTGACTCTCTCGTGCCCCTGGGTACTGGGGTAAAGGGCTCTCATGTTCTCCCCACAGGTGTGTGAGGGGGGAGAGCTTGATTTTCTGGCCTCATTGCCTATTTGTAAAGCTGTAGCCTAAAGGGCTCTCCCAATGCAGCCTGGTCTGAAACTGCTTTAAGAAGCCTCTGACCCTCTTCAGGGTAAGTGCTCAGCTCCCCGTGTGGGTTTGGGGCCAGTGATTTTTGTTGGCATTTATAGAAACAATTGGAGATATTTTCTGCTTTCCTACAATTCCATGTTATTGGATAACTTTCTTTTCTTAAGACTCACAGATCTTAAGTCTGGCTTATTAAAATGTATGGTCTAGCTTTTTGCCCTATTTTACATTCAAGGCATCTTGAGGCTCAAAGAGGTTATGTGACTTCCATGGTCATTCGGCTCACTTGCCATGTGTAGTGTCCATGTTGTCAGCAGCTGTGAATTCCCTTTGATTGCCTTTGGGGCTATTATTTTCTTTGTGGCACGAGGTCAAGAAGTATAGGACAAGAAATGTGGCAGGGATGGCTGAGTGCTAGGTGCACACCTTCAAGAGGGGCCAGCATATCAGTATAGAACTATTCCAAACCACTCTTTTCTGTTTTTTTTTTGTTTTTTTTTTTTAATGGAGCTAACTTTATTCTGATAACAAAAAAAATGTTTATTAGAAAATTTTTAAAAATACAAAAAAATATGAAGAAATGGAAAGGTTTTTAAAAATTGTGAAAGGGCAATATATGCTTTTATTAAAAAATAAGAAAATATAGATAAGCCAAAAAGTAGGAGGAAAAACCACTGTTAATTTTACATAAAATAGCATTAAAATGAAACCTTTAAGTTGTTTTTTAAAATTAGATATTTCGTCTATCTTTTATTTTTAGGATTCTGGCTTTGGCTTTTACTTACATTCCCCTGTCTTGTGGTTATTTTTCCTAGTTTATATTCATATTTTGTTCATCTTTTTTTGGCTGTGGTTGTTTAGAGATTTCTGTTTTTGTTCTTTGAGGACAGAGGTGTAGTTCCTATGTAGTTAACTTCTACATTTCCTTTATGGCTTCTATTTCTGATGTGAGGTGAGGGACGGAATGATAGGCCTATGGGGTTGAATTGCTTCTAGAAGGATCCTGCAGGTAAGTGGGGTGAGTGGGATTCATTTGACTTGAGAAATTGTTTCAACTGCCTCCTGACACTGGCGAGGCATCAAGCTGAAGGGAGGGAACAGGGAGATAGATAGCAAAGAAGACTTTACTGAGGAAAGGCCTTCACGGTGGCAGTGGAATAACATTTGATCCGGGGCTGCGCTTTCTTGACTCTTGTCCCATCTTTTGGTCTGTGCATCCTTTTGGCATGAGAAACAACCACCTAAGGGGTTACAGATTCAGCCGATGAAGACTATCTAGAAGAGCTGCCTTAGGGAAGGTTTATGTACCATTTATTGAGAGACAGATTGTAAAACAAATCTTGGAGGCCCCCTAGGCAGGTGAACATGAACTTTACCATTTTTTCTAATGCTTACATTTTTGTTTCTTCTCCTAAACCTGTCTTCAGGCCAAAGAACTCAAAACAAGCAGAAAGAGAAGAGAAGCGAGTCCTCGGTCTGGTGCTGCTTCGAGGGGAGAACCTGGTCTCAATGACAGTAGAGGGACCTCCTCCCAAAGATGTAAGTCGGAGCAAAGTGCCAGTGCAAGGCCAGGAAGCCTTGTGAAAGAAAAGAGGACATGCCACGAGCCAGGCTCTGTGTTAGGTTCTCTCTGTGTTTCATTGCAGTACTCAGAGGCAAGCTCTGGTTTTTGCCGCCTTTTTACAGATAATAAACAGAATCTTAAAGAGGTTACCCTGCAAGTAACAAGTAGAGATAGGGAACTAGAATTTGAGGTTTTCCAGCTTTAAAGCCCTCCCTTCTTCCTCAGTTGACGTACATAGTCAGAAGAGGAACCTAAAGGCCATCTGGGTCAGTTCTTAGTGTGATGACAGGCTAGCTGCACTTTAAAAAGTTGTGACTTCAAGCAGTAGAATATGTATTTTATACAGTTATAAAACAGTAGTTAACATTTATCGAGCATCTGCTGTCTGCCAAGCACTTCAGTATTTTATTTATTTTATCCTTGTAACCATTTTTTGAGATAAATTATTTCCACTTTATAGGTAAAACAAACTGGATTTTAGTAGCTTGCCCAAGGTGTTATAGCTACTAAGTGGTGAAATTGGTATTTGGTCCCAGGCATTCTTGGTTCTGTAAATACCAACCTACATTTAGAAATAGAGCAGACTTTAGAGAATGATCCAAATTTGTTTTCTGTTTTTCATTTTAAGACATTTTTCATTAAAGGAATAATTTTCTTAATGCTGTTTTTGTTTTTACCCACTTACATATGTCTTTGTTTAATATTTAACATGATAATACATGTAATTTGTGTTTTTTTTTCACTTAATGTTGTAAATATTTTTCTATTTGCTGTGTACAAGTCATATTAATGACTTTAAGATATTCTCTCAAGGTTAGTACAGAGTCTTTTCCTTGCTTTTGGACTTTAGTTGAAGCTTTTTCTAATATAAATGTCTGCCATATATTTTGGTTCAAAGCATATGTACATATTCATAACTCTTGGTGTCTATTTCCAGTAGAATTTACTACTCTAATGTAGCCCATTGTAAACCTTCATGACCACACCAGTTTTGTCATAGTCTCATCATTTGAATGAGGAAACAACCCAGAATCGTGGCATTACTTGCCCACTGTCACCTATCAGATAAGAATCAGAGCTGGTACTGGACTTCATGTTTTTTTGATGCCAGGTCAAATACTCTTGTCTGCTGCATTCTTCTGAATGGAGTCCTGGCCCTTCGTTGGTTTAATTTTCATAGGAATGCATATAGGTGATTGCGTTGTGGCATGTTTCTCTAGATTTACCCTTAAGCTCTTCTAACCTGATGCAGGGGTGATAGCTGGGCATATAATCTTGGCTGGAGGAGGAATGGTGTTAACCACATACGGGTGGGTAGTGTCTGTAAGTAGTTTTGATGCCCTGTAAATATGAATGGTTCTCTTGGCAATGGTATTCCAAAGTATGCGTCTGATTCTCTAGCCACAAGCGTTTTAGCATGTTTCTTTATTTTTCAGACTGGCATTGCCCGAGTACCGCTTGCTGGAGCTGCTGGGGGCCCAGGGATCGGTAGGGCTGCTGGCAGAGGAATCCCAGCTGGTGTTCCCATGCCCCAGGCTCCTGCAGGACTTGCTGGGCCAGTCCGTGGGGTTGGTGGGCCATCTCAGCAGGTGAGGAGTTGAGGAAGGGCACCAGTAGCTGGTGGTTAAAGTAAAGGATAGAGGGAGTCCACAGTTTGAGAAGAGTCCAGAAGGACATCCTATGACTGTCAGGCTATCAGTGTTTCATTCTGCTTTGAATATGGTCCCAGAATCAAGTGTCATTGTAAATTTTATAGATGTTGTTAAAGAGATGCATGCAAGGTATATTAGCCAGCTGTATTGGAGCAGAGTGTTTCCATGACAACATTTGAAATATACTCTTTCATAACCTATTATCAGTTATTTGAAAATGCAGGTGCCTTCTCTAACTTGTGTTGGGCATCCTTAACTCAGGCCTAGAAGATGGGAATTGAGAATTCAAGCTTGATCTTGTCTGGAGGACGGTTTTGGATAGGTCTGACACCGTGAGTTGTAGCTTAGGGGATTTTGATGTCTGCTGTTTATTTACCAAGATGGAGGCGGGGAGAGTGGGATCCTGCATTGCACTGTACTATTTTAATTCTCTTTCTATGTCCTCTTAGGTGATGACCCCACAAGGAAGAGGTACTGTTGCAGCTGCAGCAGCTGCTGCCACAGCGAGTATTGCAGGGGCCCCAACCCAGTACCCACCTGGCCGTGGGGGTCCTCCCCCACCTATGGGTCGAGGGGCACCTCCTCCAGGTGAGGAACCCTTAAGGAAACCATTGTTAATCCATAGAAGATGCCTGAGCTGGATTTATGATGAGATATAACCTTGACTGAAACTGATGATGAGTTTTTATAATTAAGCAGGATTACTCTGAGATCCAGCTTGGTTGATTCACCATGAATTAACTGGACAAGAGCCGTTGGGAGCCCCACCTCCTTGGCTCAAGTCCCAGTATTCTGGGAGATACTGGGAGGGTGGAATGGTCCCTCCATCTCAGCTTAGTGGATAGCTTTGTATGTTTCCTGCTACCTTTTCAACAGACACTTGAGCTGTATTCTTGGGGCTTTTCTCTTGCAGGCATGATGGGCCCACCTCCTGGTATGAGGCCTCCCATGGGTCCCCCAATGGGGATCCCCCCTGGACGAGGAACTCCAATGGGCATGCCCCCTCCAGGAATGCGGCCCCCTCCGCCAGGGATGCGAGGTAAGTGCCTGGTGCAGTGACTTTGATTTTCTTCCCTAGAGCAATATTGGGATGAGAAGTGAGGGAAGATGGGATTTACTATACCCTTTGGGCTTTCGGGCCTTAAGCCTAGGGAAGTAAACTCTTAGAGAAAAACTCAGTCCAGAAAGGAAAGGAAACAGCATTTCTTAAATTGATTGAACTCCCTCTTAGAACAGAGCAGCCCTGTATCCAGGGTACTTCTCAATACCCAAGGTAATGTTCTCAGGGCACTGTGAAATAAGGCATTCTGAGGGTCCCCAATAAAGGTTATGGAATTAATTGTCTTACCCCCTTTGGTTTGATAGTGTTTAGTAATTAAGAGAGGGCAGTGGGCTTTCCTGTGCTATTTAGTATGTGTATCTGTTTAACTCCAGTTTGAGAAATGTCGACATAGATCATCAGCTCTTTCATTTTATAAATAAGGAAACAGGCCCAGAAAGAGCTCAGTGTCCAGACCCCAGACCAGTGTTCTTTCCACCAAGCCACAGTGGTCTCTAAGATAACTCACAGCCATACTAGGTGACCTCTTTGGCTTTAGTCTGGGTTTTCCGTTTTGGGGTTTTATAAGCATAAGAACCTAGTCAGCCCCAGAGAATTCTCCAGTTGGCATGGCTGTCCCTCTGATCACTTGGTGACTGCAGGGTGGGGGAGGGGGGGCTGGAGCGGGGATGGGAATTTTGAGTTGCATATCAGGCACTGACTAAATTTCTTACTCTTACTTCAGGCCTTCTTTGACCCTTGGCCACAGAGTTATGGAAGTAGCTCCACAGAGGCGAGGGCCCGGTTCCCCAGGCCACGTTACCACAGACCTGTTTGTTTGTTATGCCATTGTTCGTGGATTGTTATGCCATTGTTTGTGGAGTCTCACCGGGTTGTCTGGTTTCCCTTACAGGGCCCCCTCCCCCAGGAATGCACCCACCAAGGCCCTAGGCTCATCTTGGTCCTCAGCTCCCTGCCTTTTTGCCGAAAGGCTGTACATAGTCCTTTTATTCCCTTGTGGCGTGAAATAATTGATAATAAACTCTTAATAGGATATTATAGATGCACCTGGTGTGTCTGTTCATTTTTAGAAAAATCTTTGATACTATTGGATACTCAATAGGGTGCCTTGGAAAAATTAGCTCTAATTTTAGCTGCTTCTCTTATAAAATATTTTACTACATATTTGCAGAGATGCACAGTCTCATACCAAGAGAATTACAAAGCTAAACTATAATGAGACATTTTAATCTATATAGCTGGCACAGATCAGTTTGTTGAAATAAACACAGTGTTAGTGAGGGTTGGGAATTGGTGTAACCTCTTTGGAAGGAACTCATCTAGATGGCTTCTTGAGCAGTACTTTAGAATATTGTATTTATTTTTACATAATAAAGTATGAAATCCTGAAAATGAAAGTCCTATTGGGAAAGGAGGGATTTTAGTATAACTTTCTCCCAGGGTTACACACAGAACAACCTTTTCTGACTAGAGTTTTGGGGCTGCTGTGATTTCTTCCACCCAAAGTCTATGTTAAGTTGATAAGATGGTCCTGAGCAGTGCTCTAGTCGTACATCAAGCTTAAAGGGTACAGAAATAAGAAGTGGCCACTATTTTTAAGTTACTGTCTATAGGGAAGACAATTCTAAAAGCAAAAGAGAGAACTTAATGAAAAAAAGATGTGTAGTATGGGGGTGCTTCTCCAGGAATGTAATAGTGATTAACATAAAAAACCACATTGATAGAAGGGAAAAACCACCTGATCCTCTCAATAGATGCAGAAAAGGATTTGGCAAAATTTCAATACTTTAATGATAGAAATAGCAAATTAGGATTAGAAGGGAACTTCATAAACATGATAAAGGGGATTATGAAAATCCCACAGCTAATTTAACAGCGAAAGGCTGAAAAATTTCCGCTTAAGACAAGGGTGCCCCTTCGGCCGCTTAGTCAACATTGTACTGGAAGTTCTAGCAATTAGGCAAGAAGGTCTAGAATGGAAAGGAGGGACTAAAACTTCACAGATAACAATGCTATATAGAGAAGTTCTTGAATCTTAAGAAAGCTGCTAGAGTTAGTAAACGAATTTAGCAAAATTGCAGGTATCATCACAAAAATCAATTGTATTTCTACATATCAGCAATGAACAATCTGAAAAGGAAATTAGAAAAATTCTATTTATAATAGCATCCAAAGGGATAAAATACCTAGGAATCTAACCAAGGAGGTAAAAATTGTACACTGAAAACTACAAACATTTCTGAAAGAATGAAAACCTAAAGAAATGGGAAGATGAGTTCACGGATTCGAAGATATAGTTAAAATGGCAACACTCTCCAAAGTAATTTACAGATTGAGTGCAAACTCAAAATTCCAGTGGCTTTTGCAGAAGTGGAGAAACCAATCCTCAAATTTGTATAAAGGTGCCCGGGGCTCCGGAGTAGCAAAAACAATCTTGAGCAAAGTTGTAGGTCTCACAATTCCTGTTTTCAAAACTTACTACAAAGCTTTAGTAATCAAAACAATGTGGTACTGGCACAAGGATAGACGAAGGCCAATAGAATAGAATTGAAAATGAAGAAATAAACACGAATATGGCCAGTTGATTTTTTATAGTGCTAAGACCTTTCACTGGGAAAAGACTAGTCTAACAAATGGTGCTGGACAGCTGGATAACTGCATGCAAAAGAAGGAATTTTAATATCTGCCCCTCTCCATGTATCACTTTAACTCAAAATGGATTAACAGTAGACATATGAGAACCAAGACTAATAAAACTACCAGAAGAAAATGGGTAAATCTTCATGACCGTAGATTTAGTGATGGATTCTTAGATTTGACACCAAAGGCACAAGGAGCAGAAGAAAAACATTGGACTTCATCAAAATTGCAAACTTTTTTGCACCGAAGGATATTATCAAGAATGTGGAACTCAAAGAGAAAATATTCTCAAGTCATGTATCTGATTTGAGTTTAATATCCAGACTACGTAAAGAACTTATAACTCAACAATAAAAAGATAAATAGCCCAATTAAAAAATAAGCAAAGGAACTGAATAGACATTTCTTCAAAGAAGAGAGACAAATGGACAATAAGCACCTGAAAAGGTGTTCAACCTCATTGGTTGTTAAATGAAAATCAAAATCACAATGAGATTCTACTTCATAGGATAGCTTTAATGGAAAAACAATAAGGAAAATAAATGTTGGCAAGTATGTGGAGCTATAGGAACCCTTGTGCATTACCAGTGAGAATGTAAAATGGTGCAGCCACTATGGAAAGCAGTGTGGTGATTCTTCAAAAAGTTAAACATAGAATTACCATATGATCTAGCAATTCCACTCCTAGGTTCATACTCAAGGGAAGTGAAAATAGGTCCACACAGAACCTTGTACATAAATATTCGTGGCAGCATTATCCATAATAACCAAGAGGTGGAAACAACCCAACTGTTCATTTAGAACTTTTAAAATGTTGAGCCATGTGAGTGCATTATTTAGTTTAAAAAATTAAGTACATATTAAAACTAAAAAATGGTGCAATAATGAATTCACTTAAAAAAAAAAAAAGATGAATCCACCAGGAGGCAGCATTGCTCTGTTAAGAAGAAGGGAGCAGCCACGTCTGGACTATAAGGCATGGGTGTTGAGATTATGGGTTAGTTTTTTTCTTTCTTTCTCTACTCGTCTACTTTTCTATGAAGACCTATACAGAAGTAAAATACAGTTTATTTAAGGAAGTGTCAAGCCCTGACCATCTTTAGCTGTGGGGACATATCTCTGTATTTGTATATAAATTTCTAAAAGTAAAGTTACTGAGGAAGAAGGGAGTTACATTTAAAATGTCGATAGACAAATAACCCTCCAATTGTGTTATCCTACACCATTAATAGTGCACACAGCTGCCTGTTTCTCATATCCTTGCCAACACAGTGTATTGTGACATTGTTAGATCTTGTACAATCTGATAAGTTAAAAAATATGTCCTTGTTTTAATTTGCATATATTTAGTTTCAAATACGTTTTCACATATTTAAAAGCAATTTATATTTTTCTGTGAACTACTTTCCCCACTCTAATGAGGGTGAGGAATTTATCCATGTTGTTTCCCACTGAGCTCCAGTTTCCTCATCTATAAAATGAAGGTGTGTCTTGTTGCCTCATGGGAAGCAGATTGACTCCTCCACCAAATTTGGGTTGGATAGATGAGACTGATGGCTCTACATATGCATCGAGGGGGTAGGAAAAGATTCATTTTTGACGTAATAAGGCCTTCCTTCTGTGGAGAGCAGGGCAGGCTCCAAAGTAGGTCTGAAAATGGCTTGAGAGAGCAAGTAGGGGTGAGTGGCTCATTTCATTGTATTTAGGGGGTGGCGCTGTGGTGAGGGTCCCACAATTGGGCCAGGGCTTGTGTGGCATAAACTTGCCAAGGGAGAGAGCCTACAGGCTTTCTTATGGGCTTGAAAGCTGTCGGCAACATAAAAAAATGAAATCAGACTTACTATTCATTACATGGTGATAGAACCTCCTCTCACTGAAGATTAAATGATGTACTATACATAATAAGGTTAGCACAGAGGAAGTGGTCAACAAATATTTGACATTGTTGTTCTGGAGTCTTTCAATTCTAACTTTGTAAAGAGTTTTTTCCTTCTGAGTATAACAATTTTTTTTTTTTTTTTTTAGGAGTGCGATCTATAGTTAGAAGATTTGGCTACTTTTACATATGATAGGGCTTATTTGTCTTTGTTTTTTTCCCAAGGGACCAGGTACAGTGTTTTGCATGAAGTCAGAGAAAGAACACGCCCATTTCCAGAATGCCTCACACTGAGGGCCACATACAGTGCTGGGTACTTCTTATACATTATATCAGGGAATGTTAGCCGACATGAGTGAAAGAGAATATCCCTGGGATATGGAGTGGGGACGTTGGCTGGTAAAGCTGATCACATGCATATCCTATGACCCAGCAATTCCACTGCTAGTTATATGCCAACCAGAATGCTGACATGCTCATAAACAGACATGTACAAGAATATATACAGCAACTTGATTCAGAATAGTCCCAAACTGGAAACTACCCAAATATCCATTAATAGTAAAATGGAGACATGGTAGTTTATCCACACAAAAGAATACTGAACATCAAAGATCTACAAAAACACGCAGCATTATGAATAAATCTTCTATACAGAATGTCAAGTGACAGGGCCAAAGACCAAACACAAAATACATACTGTATTGTTCCATTTACATGAAATATGGAGACTAATCTTTGCTTCTACAGTCTGGGATAATGGTTTCCCTGGGAACGGGCACAAAGGGAGCTTCCAGGGTACTGGTAAGATTCTACTTTTTAATCCAGGTGCTCATTACCTGGTGGGTTCAGTTTGTAAAAATTCAGCAAGCTGCTTGCTTTTGATATGAATACATTTCTGTATGTATGTTATGCCTCTACAAATATAAAAAAATCCTAATTGGGGAAAACCTAAAAGGAAATTTACCACCACGTTAACAGTGGCAGTGTCTACATGATGAGACTCTGGCTACTGTTTTCTTTCCCTTTCTTTATGCTCCTAATTTACTAAAATTCATTTAATAGATATATATGGAATGCCTACTATGTACTAGGCACTGTTCTATTCAACTCCGCTGGGTACGCAAGAGTAAACAAAATAGAATACTTTGTACTTGATGAGCTTATATTCTAGAAGGGGGATATGGATGATAAATTATAAACATGTAAATAAATTATGTCAAACAGTACTAACTGCTGTGGAGAAAAGTAAATCAGAGAGGAGATGCAAAGTACTGAGTGTGGTCCTATTTAATTAGGGTGGTCAGAAAAGGCCCTATGATAAAGAACAATGTGAGCAGAAACCTATCGCTTTGAGCCATGCAGATAGGGTTGGGAATGGAGAGAAAGAATTCCAGGTAGAGGGTACAGCAACTGCAAAGGCACTGAGGCGGGAGCATACTCTACTTTTCAGAGGATATCTAGAAAGTCACAGTTCCAGTTATCAATTTATTACATCTGAGCTCAAAACTGACCCTTCAGTGCCTGCTCTGTAGCTAGACTCAAAACATTATCTATCTGCTGGTACGATGTTAAGGCTCGTCAGTAGCAGCTGCTGGAGAGACATGGCAGGAAGAGAGGGCCTTCTTTTCTGACCTGGTGTACTCGCAGCAGACCTCTGAAGCCTGCACTGCTCCCCCAGGCCCAGTTCCCACAGCCTGGGTGGTCTCTCCAGCCCTGGGGGCTTCTGCAGGAAAGATGGCTTCTTTAGCACCCGTTCCTGCAATGCACAGTGGCTATCAGTACTCAGCGACCAACAGCTTCTCCCGGCACCCATCTTGAGTGCCTTTGGGGAGGTGCCTCACCATGAGTGGCTTTTCCTGGCATCCTCGAGGGCAGATTTCCAGCCACTTCCAATGGTGAGGTACCACAGTGACTGCTTTGCCATCCATTGATGCACAGCGCACCCTCTCCAACGAGACCTGACGTCAACCTTGCTGTGAAAGTCACTGTGAAACCAAGGGGACTCCAGCAGTGGGATGCCTAAGCCTCAGGTAGAGCTCTGTTCCTTGCTCAGTCATGAACAAACTCTTCTGTCCTTCCTCTGTGAAGGGCGTTGCCAGGGTGTTGCCCTACCAACTGAAAGGAAATCCCTACCTGCATATTTTTCTTTGCAGCTTCCAAAGCTGCATTTCCATCTATACTCTGCTTTGGGCTGTCTTCTCTCAATGTCCCTACTTCTCCCACTCCCAGCCGGGATGCCCTCGTTGGCTTTGGGGTGGCGGGCTGTCTTCTCTCAATGTCCCTACTTCTCCCAGCCGGGATGCCCTCGTTGGCTTTGGGGTGGCCTTTGCTTTCAGCTGGGGCTAGAAGAAAGTTTTGTCCCAGTGAAGTGCTACCTCAGCTTAGCTGATAGGAGCCAAGAGCAAGGGGCTTAAACTGGAGACAGAGCTACCTGGCAGGTGGCACTCATCACCTCAGCTACTTTCCTTTCCTCAAATACACATGCACTCTGGCAGGCTGCTCTAGCTCTAGAGTTGCTCATGGGGTGGGCCCATGTTGTCCCTCTGCCCACTCCTTCTCTTTCTCTTCCATGGGGGTTAATCCTCAGGATACTTCTCTATCAACATCCGGCACCCTATACTCCATCTCAGAGCCAGCTTCCTAGGAGGCTCAACCTGTGACAACCAAGTTTGAGAAAAACAGGAAGATGGTATTTGCTGGAAGAATGAGGTGTCTGGGGCCACCACAAAGGGAGTCCTTCTCAGTCTGATCTCCATGCCGAAAGGACTGTTCTTTGTACTAAGAGTGGGAGATTGCTTCCTGTTGTCTTCAGCGCCCAGTGCCCCTTCCTGCTCAACTGTAAGGAATTGGCTGTCTCCTCTGAACCTCCAGCTGTCTCTCTTAAAGAGGGTCAGCATCCAAAACCTAGGTTTGGAAAGGGGGTCCTGAAGCCAAGGCAGCCTAAGCACCTGACTCATTAAATGCATCTACTTACCTGGGTTCTTCAAGCTGTCCCCATGCTGTGTAGAATCATCAGGGAAATGCCTTCATTGAGGCCTTGGTCATAAGGATCATCCATCAAACGCTGTCCGTGTGTTTTCCTGACCCCCTTTTTGCAAAGACCCGCTATATAAATTGTTTCCACCTGAGTTTGCATCCAGGTGATGATGTCTCACAGCAGATGAGCCTGCTTTGTTGTTATTGTTTAGATTACTTAAATTATGTCAAATTTACTCAAAAAGAGTCAGGAGGCTTTGACTAGAAATAAAATAACAAAGATTTATTCAAGGGTCTTAGGGCTTATAAACTTTAAACACAACTAGGCAATATCCGGAATGTCTCAAAGGAGAAAGAAAACCTAAGGGTTCTTATAGTAAAAAATACATTCTTAAGAAGACTCAGTCCTATGTTCTTAGCCTCTGGATTGGTCTGAGATGGTAATCTTCAGATGTCTGGTGCTCTCAATGATGAAATAATTTCTTCCTGAGATCATTCACATGGTCAGTTGAGGGTTTGATGTATATCCAGGTGCTGATGCACAACAACCCAATGTGCATTCAGGTACTGAAGCAGGACTGGAAAGTTAAAAAGTTTAAGTTCCCAGAGTCACTTAAAACAAGAATAGAATTGTTTTCTCTTGCTTCGGTCTCCTTAATTTTAATAATTTGGTAGCTTGCCCATTGTGACTCCATTTTATTCCTTCAAATTTTCCTCACTTATATGATTAGCTATAATTCCTTTGGCTGTCTAGAACATTCTGGAGCTGATTTCCATGTCTGGTGCAGTTATCTTCAGGGACTGGTGGTCTCTACTCTGGTTGTCATTCCAGAAGTCTCTGTCCTGTTTGACGCTAAGAGTGTGATTGCATGTAGTGTAAGCTGGGGGGGGATGTTATACAATGAAGTATATCAACACTGGGCTGGTTGTATAAAATCCCTGATGACCATAACTAGATCAGATTTGGGGCTGCATCCCCAAATGCAATCCAGTCTTGATGGCTCCTCCTGTACCTTCGGCTTCTCCCAGGAAGAAATAGCCCCTCAGATCCTGAGCTTGTTTCTTCACTGAGGAAAAATCTCCCAGCCCTTCAAATCTAATGCTTTTCAGGAACATGATTTTAGGTTAAAACTTAGATGGTGTAAATGGCATGCACACAGGCCTCAATCTGCCGCTAGTTCCCCGTGTCTGTAAGCAAGGCTCTTCCCTCTATGTAAAATGGGAGTGTTGAGGAATGTTTAGGTTTCAGATTTAAAATTCTTGGGTTCTCTGTCAGAGCTGGGGGGAGATTCTTGGGTATGGATGTGGTCAGAGCATTGAAGAGCTGAGAGACAAGCAAGGAGAGCCCAGGGGTCAGCTAGGGTGACAGTGATCTGTCTGGCAGGAGGTGGCAGTGCTTCATGGGCTTGGGTTACTCCAATGCTTAGTCTGTTAGTCTCCCAGCAACAAGGGTGATGAGATGAAGGTGGCAGAGGCTCCTCACATCATCCATCATTGTCTAAAAGTTTAAGGATTATTGAGTATAATATTATTTTACAGATGGGGAAACCAAGGTCTAAGAGGGGAAGGGGCTTGCCCAAGTTCATAGAGTGGGGCAGAAGCTGAAGCAAGGCTGGAACCCAGGCCTCTGGCTCCCACATGGGAGGGGCAAGGAGGTAGACAGGAGGGGAATGGAGCCAGCTCTTCCCCTCTCAGTCCTTTGTGGCCCATCATTTGGCTGTGGCCACGTGGATGGTCACAAATCCCTTGATGTCTGAGAAGTGGGGGCTGACAAAGTCCACCTGCAGCTGCCTTGGGCCACTCTTGGAGGGGGTGATGTTGAACTGAACCAAGGCCTTCTCCTGGGGCTCTAGGCTGGGCACACTGCAGAAAGAGGAAAGAGAAAATGCAGACCATCACCCTTCTCTCAATCCTGAGCCTGGCCTGCCGGTTCATGGCTCTCCAAGGTCATACCTTGTAGCTTGACATTCAAGCCTTGTCAGTATGCTTCCAGCTTAATGTTCCCTTCTACAACTTCTCCCCCTTTCCAACTAGCCAGGCTAATCTCCTCCTTGTGCCTTGAATATACTTTAGGCTTCTTCTCTTTGGGCTTTTGCCTGCACTGTTCCTCCCACTAAGGATGCCCTTCTCACTTCAATCACACTCAAGGCCCAGACCAAGTTTCTCTTCTTCCAGGAGACCTTCCCTGACTACATCAGCCATGGATATCTCTGACTGGAAAGCCTTCCATCCTTCTTGATACCCCCAAATCTGCTCAATTTATCATTTAAGGCCTAGATCAAATATCAGCTCCACTGTGGCTTCTTCCTGGACCTACCCCGCCCCCACTCAAGGGCTGCCTCTGATCCCCCAAACCTTGGGAAGTCATCCCTCTGCACAATCACATTATCCTCATTTGAAAAGCCATCTGTCTCTGAGATCCGTTCTCTAGGCAGAACTTTATTTTTCCATCTTGGTATTCCCAACAGTAGACATGAAGCTCAGAGCACAGGTCAGTACGATCAAGGACCATATGAGTGAGTGAGTGAATGAATGAAAGAATGAGTAAGTTTGTGAATCATTGAGAATAAATAAGTAAATAAATTTATGAATGGAACATGTGTGAATTAGTGAGTGAATGCATAAACGAATGAGTGAACGAATATGTAACGAGTGAGCAAATTAAAGATTGAGTGTTTGAATAAACCTATTAAAACTGAGATGAGTAGATAAATGGATAAGTGAATGAATGAGTGAAAACATGAAAAAAAGAGTGAGTGAATGAATAAAAGTGAGTGAATAAGTAAGTAAATGGATAAGTGAATGAAAATATGAATGAATGAGTGAATAGTGAGTAGATGAGTTATATAATTAAATTAATTATTAAATAAATGAATAAATGAATAAATGATTGAAGGCTGATGTGTTTAGGCAGTGAGCTAGTTCCTGGGGGTCCAGAATATCTCCTATCTTCTTTACCCTCAACCCCTGTCAGCAGGTTCTCTATGGCCCATCTTATAAGGAAGGCAGACCCCATGTCCCCACTGCACCCAGACTGGCACTTACTCAATGCTGAGCTGTCCCTGGAGAAGGCCGCTGCCCTCCACCATCAGCATACAGTGCTCCACTCTCTCCGAGATGGGGTTGACCACCATCACTTCCACCGCAACTGCCACCCCCACCACGGCTGGGCCCAGCACCTGAAGAGGCAATACTCCATAAACCATCCCTCCTTGTTCCCATTCTCCTAGGAAACCCATGGTTTTGGTTGGGTCAGAGGATGAGCAAAGTCATATCTACTTCTTGCTTCCACATACCCCATTACTGAGTTCCATTATTATATCCATCCACCTGCATCCATACCACTTCTCCCCACCCTTGAGAGTTGAAGCTGGAGCTAGAAGCACAAAATCCCCAGCTTCTGATTTCCTCCCTCAGCTCTGAAGGGGCCTTGCTAGGAACAGCGTGGTAGATACAGACAGGAGTCACCTTGATGTTGATGAAGTCCTCCAGAGTGATGTCTTTCTCTACCAAGAGCTTCTCTCCTTCGGTGACAAGGCACATGGCAGCCAACAGAATCTTCTTGTCCTCTGTCAGGTCTTTTTTATATTGAGAGTAAGATATTGTGATTGGGATCTTTTTCTCTGGAAAAGAAAGCAGAGGTGGGAGTTGGGGATCCAATATTCTTTGTCAGTGGAACCCAGAAAGAAGAAAAGAAGGTTCAATTCATACTCTCTCTGGTCCTTGCAACCAATATGAGGCAGGCATTATTATCAACAGTTCACAGATGAAGAAACCTAAGGCTCAGAGAGGGTAATTTCTTGTCCAATGTCATACAGCATGTAAATCAAGGAACTAAAATGAGGTAGGATTCAAATTCAGCTACCATGACACCAGACTGTCTCTCCCAGAGATCTTGGAGATGTGTTTAAACTTTCCTGAATCATTCCAGATGGAAATCTCTCATTCTGTCATCCATTCATCCAACAAGGGATTCACTCACTGTTTACTGAGCACCTACTATGTGTTAGGTGCAGAGAAGAGGGAGGCTGAAGACCTGCCTCAAGCTTCTAATCCAGGGAGAAGGCCAATTACCTGGTGGCTTCTCCAAATGCACCTTCCCCATCCAGGCCTGGTCCCAATCAGCCTCACCAGCTGTGAAAAACTTTCGCTGATACCCAACCCAGGGATCTTGTGCTCTCTGCATTCTGAGCTCCCGTGGTCCTGGCCATCTCTGTCTCTTTCACTCTTATCAGCCACAAACTTTCTGCCTATGTATTCTCTTCTTGTGAGTATGGGTCATCACAGACTATATCTGTCATATTTTTTTTTTCCGACCACTAAATAAAAAATATATGTAAAGTATATTGATTAGGAAGAAAGAACTAAAACTCATTGTTCACAGATGACATGATCATCTATGTAGGAGATCTGAAAGAACAACACAAAAATCCTGGAGCTAATAAGTGATCACAGGATATAAGATTAATATACAAAAGTCAATAACATTCCTATATACCAGCAATGAAGTGGGATCTGAAATTAAAAACACAATATCACTTATATTATCATCCCCCAAATGAAATACTTAGGCATTAATCTAACAAAATATGTACAAGATCTATATGAGGAATACTACAAAACTGTGATGAAAAAAAAATCAAAGAAGAACTAAATAAATGGAGAGATATTCCATGTTCACAGATAGGAAGAAAGAATATTATCAAGATGTCAGTTCTTTCCAAAGTTATCTATATTTAAGGAAATCCCATCGAAATCCCAGCGAGTTATTTCATGGACATTGAAAAACTGACTCTAAAGTTTGAAGGGGAAGTTTGAAGGAGAATAACATCAGAGGACTGACACTACTTGACTTCAAGACCACACAGTTTTGATGTAAAGCAAAGCAAAGGGAATATAGTCAATGATATGGAAATAACTACATATAGTGCCAGGTGGTTACTGGACTAGTCAGGAGGATCACTTTGTAAATTATATAAATGTCTAACCACTATGCTGTACAACTAAAACTAATATAACACAAAACTGAATGTCAACTGTAACTGCAAAATTTAAAAAAGGGGAGGGGAGAAGGTAAAAGGGAATAACAAGTTCGAATTTCAGGTATAAAACAAATAAGTCATGGGGATATAATATACAGCATAGGGAATATAGTCAATAATATTATGATAGCATTATATGGTGCCAGATGGTTGCTGACTTATCATGGTGAGCACTTCTTTAGGTATATAAATGCTGGATTACTATGATGTACACCTGAAACCAATACAATATTGCATGTTAGCTATATTTTCATAAAAATCCTTAAAAAACCCCATAGAATGTACAATAGAGTGAACCCTAATGTAAACTATGAACTTTAGTTAAAAATAACCTACCAATATTAGCTCATCGGTTGTAACACATGGACCACGCTAATGCAAGATGTTAATAATAGGGGAAGATGGGAGGTGGTGAGGGGGTAGATAGGAACCCTCTGTACTTTCTACTCAACTTTTCTATAAATCTAAAACTGCTAAAAAATCTACTAGTTAAAAAGTGATAAATTTTAATAAATCGTATATTTTAATAGTCATACTATGTGGCTCAGTATGACTCAGATTCATTTTTGTGAATCTATTCTAACAAAACAGTCCAAAATCAAGAGAAAGGGGATTTTTGCACCAAGATGTTTACGTTAGTGTCTTTTTAAAAACAGCAATAAGCTGATAACTATCCAAAAGAAGGGAAAAGATAAAATAAGTCACTATATATTTATTTAAAGATTATACATCTATTAAAGTGATGTTTAATGAAGCACTTATAAAAATTTTAAATTACAGTGTAAAGTGAAAAGAGCAGGCACTAATGAGTATTTACAATACAATTAGAACTATGTTTTTCAAAAAGCAAATAGGTATTAAAAATTTGGAAGGAAAATATGTTAAGTTGTAGTTGGGTAGCAGGATCATAGGTGATCTCTCTGTGTGCTTTAAGTCTTTAATGAATGTGTATTACTTTCGATATGAAAAAAATTGCTAAAAGACAGGAGAAAATATATTTTAATTAATATTTCATTATAAAGTGTCATTTTGTGATTTAGATTTTGTGAAAATTAAATGACACTTCTTTCACACGTTTTCATGTCCTGTCAAAATACAAAAGCTTCACTTACCACAAACTGGCCCGGAGGACCAATTTCTTTGTTTAACTGAATCCTTAGAGTTCAGAAGGTATGTGAAGAGATAGATAGACAGACAGACAGATAGATAGGCAGACGGATAGATAGAGGAGTCAGAGGGGAGGAGGGGAGGGGAGATAGAGATGTATGTATAGACAGACACAGACACAGAGAGAAAGAGAGACAATGAGAGAGAGAGAGAGAGAGAGAAGGAGAGAAGGAAGGAGGGAGGGAGAGAGTAAAAAAAGGAAGAAGAGTAATCAAATAGGATAACTTTAGTAAATCCTATATAAAGTGCTATGCGTTTAAAGATTGTGAAAAATATCCTTGAAACATTCTTTTAAAAAGCAGTTGGAATAAAGTCACTTAAAATCGTGTAAAAACCTTCAAAGGATTGAAGCCATTCTACTTTGGTTGGAAATACCGAGGGTACGTTTCAGGCAAATGTACCATTAGGCACCTTTAGCAAAATTGGTGTGGGCTGACCTGACCCACCACTCCAAGGCCTGCAGTTAGGCAATGGAGTCAGCTGAATTAAATGTGCCCTGTGGTCCAACATTCCTGCCTTTGTACCCTGGTTGTGCCCCTTCCTTTCTGTGGACTCTTAGGAGTGCTCTAAGGCCAGACTGGTTTGAATCCTGCCCCTACACATACTATGTAATTCTGAAGTTGTGAGTTCACCTTTATGGGTGTGAATTTCCTCCTCCAAGAAATTGAGCTAGTGTATCCCAATTCATGTAAAATTCCCAGGATAGGCCTGGAACATGTAAGCACTTAATAAACATCTCTTACTGGTCCACCCCCATCATGCAGAACACTTGGATTTTAGGAAGGTAACACAAGGCATATTCCAGATATTCTGAAATGCTCCCAGCAAGTATTTATTCTGTGTGTAAATATTCATACTGATTGGGATAAATAAAGACTATAAGTCATCTCACTTTCAGGTCAGTTTGCCACCAGAGGATTGTGGACTTTTATTTCTATTGTCATCATTTCGCTCCTTTGAGCCTCAGTTTTCTCACCTGTAACGTGGGAACAAGAGGCAAGGCACTGAGCAAATCCTCATGAATATCCCCTTCTTTCCTGAGAATTAATGTAAGACCTTGGGAAGTTAAAGCCCTGTCCCCAACCCTCCTGGAAAAGGGGTCAGGCTAGCCAGGTCCTCCCAAGAAGAGGCCTTCCTACCTTCTTCCGGCCCCAGTCGCATTGTGTGGGATTCGTGCAGGATCTCTGCCACTGGCCTGCGGGTGTAGAGGATGGTGGCACCACTCAGGTTGACTCGGACCCGCTGGGCCCTGGAGGTGAGGTTGGTCAAGCACAGGGCCAGCTTCAGGTTGTGGCCCAGCATGGGTGGCTCCAGTACCTTGAACTTGCCAGTGATGCTGGGCTTGGTGGCGGGCTCCAGGAGGTCATCACGCCAGACACCACGGCTGCCGCCCCTGCGGACCCGGGCCCTCCTCCCAGAGGCTTCCACGCTGAATAGCTTCCTCACAGCTTTGCTATACACCTGCCTCTCCTTCTTGGACCCTGCAGTGCATCACACATCATGAGGCAGGCACCCTCTTCCTCCTCTGCCCATCCCAGGGCCATCTCTTTTCATTTCCCTTCTCCTCTAGACAAAACCACTACTCCGCCACCACGGTAATTTATCATGGCTATCGGAGGTCTCAAGTCAGCAGCCCAAGACCCACATGTATTGTTTGGTTCTGGGACTATGTAAATAACTTTTTAAGCAGTTGTCAACAACTTCAGATAGGAAATTTTATATAATATAGATTTGCAACCTCTCTGGCAACTGAGTCAGAAGTCTCATGTGATCATGATAGCTGACACTTCTGTAAACTATGTGCTAAGCACTACAGCTCTAGGTGCCATATTTTCTCCCCTAGGAAGTAGTTACTAGTAGTATCCTTGTTTTACAGATCAGGAACTCAAGGCACAGAGAAGTAAAGCAGCTTGTGAAGGAACTGGGATTTGAACCCAGGCTGTCTGGCTCCAGCTTCCATGTTCTTAATCATGTTCTCATTCCACTCTACATGGCAGCAATGGTCTAGAGCTGAGTAATGGGTGCTCTCTCTGGATGGGAATGTACTCTCCAGTTCTCTATGGTCTCCACCACTGGCCTATTGCACTCACAGGGTCCCATCTTCCAGGCTCCCATAAGCATGTGAGTTTAGGACCCCTGATCTCCCGTTTTCTCTATTGCTAGCACAGATCTCTTTTTTGACCACCAGATCAATGCACTTAACTGGACAGCCTCTGTCCTCCACCCCTGAGCCCCACAGGATGTCCCATAGGTGCTCAAATCCAGCCAAACACACTATCTTCTGTCCTACAGCATTCTTCATCTCAGCAAATGGCTCCACATTCACCCACTGATTCACTCAGCAAATGGTTCCACCATTCACCTAGTGTACACGCCAGAAACTGGGGGTATCCTCGACTCTTCCCTCACCTTCGCCACCCACAACTGATCAGTCATCAAGGCCTGCTGAGCATCCTCATTGATCTCCAGAATCTTCCCTCTTCTCCCATTCAACCGCCATGTAGATAGCTTCATTGTCATGTCAGTTTGCCACCAGATATTGTTGGCTTTTATTATCATCATCATTATCATTATTATTATCATCATTACTTAGCATCTTTGACCTCAGTTTTTTCTATCTGTAAAGTGAGGACAAGAGACCCACAGGCAAGGCATTGAGGACAATGCGAGATCCCAGCTGACAACCTGTGGAGCAGATAAACCATCTCAGCTGAGCGTGGCCGAAATTGCTGACACACAGACTCCTGGGCAAATAAATAATTGTTATTTAATCTACATAACTAAAACAGCACCCCAGCTGATTCCAATGTGCACCAGAGCTGCAAACCACTCTGCTAGAGATTAGACCACTGAGGGGCGGAGGTGTCCAGAGTAGCTGTGCCCCTCCTTACAGCACCCTCCCTCATCCCGGGCTCTAGCTTGTGCTCACGGGAGGGGAGGAGACAAACAGCCTCTAGTCTGAATAACATTGAATAACATAGTTTGAATAGTTTGAATAACATCGTTTTAACAAGCAGAGATGTCTAAAAATATATGAATCAGATCACGTATTGCGAAGGGACCTATTATTCGGTGGGAAAGGGCAACTCTTAAGTATGTAGCTGGAGGTGGCTGATAGAAAAGGTGTACCTGTTCTGCTTTTGTATCCCACCAAGTGCTCGCTTCAGTAGTACATATACTAAAAATTGTATCCCATCAAGTACAGGCTCTTTAATAAACCGAAGACCACAATTAGTGACTATGGCATAGGCCTAGGCAGATGACAAATAGGAGCTGCTATTATTATTAATTATTAATATTATTCTTCTTACTGTTATTACTTTGAACTGGGCCATAGTGCTATGTATCCTAGGCGTTCAATAAATAATACCTGCTACTATTATCAATATTATTATTAGTAATTTTTATCATATGTGAACATACCTTGTATAGTGCCTGGTAAGTGATAAGTGTTCAAGGAAATGAAACTTTTATTATTACTAGATGTGGGAAATCTTTTTAGCAAACAGAGGATGTTATTAATAGTAGCTAAAGACACATGGCTCAAAGCACAAAGACAGTGCTGAATGAAGCTATCACCACCATAATACACGGGAGAGGGGCTGGCCCTGGCCACCTGCAGTTGTACTTCTACAGCAGACGGGTCATCAGGGAAGGCTAATGGAGGCCGCCATGTTGTCCTTACCTTCCGGATACTTGTAGAGGCCGGTGATGTCCACGCGGGAATCGCTGCCCACCGCCTTGGTGCTGATGCACCTCCCGATCTTCTTCGTGTCTGAGTATACACGCTCCCGGCTCTCATCCTCATTCCAGAGCCAGGTGATGTAATCTGCGTTGACCTCCGCAAACACAAAGGGGCCATCGTGGGCCAGGTGCACGTCACCTTCACGGATGGCAGTGACTGAGGCCGGGCCACACCGGAACACTCCTGAGCATGAGGAGTGGGCATGAGCAGCATGAGAGAGGAAAAGTCGGGGTCCCACCCAGCTGAGCCCATACCTTCGCTCTCCTCCTGGGGAGTGGCATCCAGAACCTGCCAGCCATTGTAAGAGGAGCCCAAGTCCTGCCGGGCAAACCAGCTCTCATTCCAGACATGGAAATTCCTGCCACAGAGAGAGGATGGAGCAGCGTGGCTTATAGTCAACACAGGGGCTTATGGGAGGGGACATTCCTAGGGCAGGCCAGACCCTGGGCTGGTACTCTGCAACAGAGCTGTGGCTAAATCTTGTGAACCATTCATTCAACTATGCCGATGAGCATATGTTGTGTGTGTGTGAACGTGTATAAATATCAAGGACCTGTTGTTTAAGATATGAGAAATACAACCGCAAATAATATAGAAGATCTTGCCCTCTTGCAGCTCACATTTTTCCAAAAGAGACAGATGAAGAGACAGGCAAAATTAAGTAAGCAGATAAATAAAACAAATGTAAGTAAATAACTGCTGTAAAGAAAGAGGCTTGAGATAGAGAACAACTGCTGGAAATCTACTCTAGGTAAATGGCATCTAAGATGAGATTTAAAAGAGAAAGAATTAGCTATAGGAAGAGCGAAGAGAACGATGTTCCAGGCAGAAGGAACAGCATGTGCAAGGGCTCTTAAGACAAGAAAACCTTAATGTATTTGAGGGACGGAAAATATGTAAGTATCTTTGAGCTACAGCAAGCAAAACGTGTAGGTAATGTTTAGATTGTGTAGCATTCTGTAGGCTTGGTATAAAGTTCAGCTTTTATTTTAAGTTTTCTATGTTCAAGACGAGAATATGAAACTAGGAAAAGTGACCCAAAGTCACCCACTAAGGAAGCAGCAGAGAGAATCTGTGGTTGGCGTTACTTGGCACCTTGACAGCTGGTCTCCGAACTCCTCTTAGGAAAGTAATCGTTTTTGTTTGGGAAAATACCTTGATAAGCATTTGGAAGTAAAAGGTAGGATAGTGGCACCTCCATGGTGACAGAGGCCACCAAATCCAAAAAAAGCGTCTGTCCATTCTGCATGAGGAAAGGAGGGTGTAATTTTTGTCATGCTCCTGCAGGGACACAGAGTGAAGTGAAGCCAAAGAGAAGGAAAGGAGAGAAGAGATGCGGAGAGGTGGTCTGAGGCTAGAGATGGGCTGGCAGAAGCTCCCTGGGGGTGGCGAGGACATTCTAGGAACATGGTTGCTGAGACGGTCTGTGTTCTGTATCGTATGCTTTTCGCAGTTTCCCCTGCTCTTTAGAAAGTTGGATTATGTGACAACTTGCACACATACGAGCAGACATTTGGACAAGATTATTCACTGAAGCCTTGTTTGTAAAGGCAACCATTTTGGTCCATCCAAGTGAGATGATTAGATAAACTATGGTTCTTCTATGCAATTGAAAGGCTGACCAGGTTCCTACCTCCGGCTCTTCTACTCACTACCTGTGGGCCTTAGACCAATTACTTAGCTTCTCTGTGCCTCGGTTTCCTCATCTGTAAAAAAGGAAAGTACTAGCTTGCTCACAAGGTTGTTTGGAGAAATACATGAGTGAGTATATGTCTGACACTTACAACTGGGCCTAGCATAGACTAAGTGCTTGCCGAATTTAATATTATTTTACACAGTACAAAAATAAAGAAAACTGGAATGTACTGATATGAAATTATTAAATGAATAAGCAAGATGAACAATACAGGCGTACCTCGGAGATATTGCAGGTTTGGTTCCAGACCACTGCAATAAAGCAAGTATTGCAATAAAGCGAGTTGTGATCTTTTTGCTGGCGACCCTCCGCCAGCAAAAAGATAAATACGTGGACTCCTTTGAGCATTCTTGCCTTCAGTTTGTGAAAAACACAACGTCTTTGAAGTGCAATAAAGCAAAGTGCAATAAAATGAGGTATGCCTGTATTACATTATGCTGCTGATGCTAAAAGCAGGGGTGCAAGGGAATTCTGTATGCGTATGTTCCTGTGTCTGCAGGGCCTCACTGTGGAAAGATATGGAAGAAGCTAGTCACGGTGCTGCCTCGAGGAGGAGGACAGGGAGACTGGAAATGGGCAGGAGGGAGATAGCACTGTGACCCATTTTGGAATATTAAAGCACATGAATGTGTTTCCTATTTTAAAAATTGACTTAAAATTAATTTTTAAAAGCTTTGTGCGAAAAGTCTTGTTTGAACTGAGAAAGGAGACTGTTTTCCACCTGAGATACATAGCATGTAACCAGGTAGCTGAAAGAAGCAGAAGCGTGATGCAGAGGTAACTCTGCAGAGGGAATCCGGGCTCCTCCATCACAGGACTCTCGGGAGGGCTGCAGTCCACAGAGGGGAGGACAGGGAATTCAAGGCATCAGATCTTGAGCCCCACTCTTGATCTCTGATGTGTCCAAAGACCCCTGATTCACAGAAGAGGAATTGCCCTGACTGGGGCTACCCCGTCCCTCTGCAGGGTACCTCTTACTCCTTCCAGAACTGGCTCCAACTCAGGAGAGCTGGGTTCCAGATCTGGGTCTGCCTCAGGGAGCCCCTGGGACCCAGCGGGCCTAGGACCTACCACATGCTGTCTTCTGTCAGGTCTTCCAGGGTCCGCCCAAAGGAGTCCACGTATTTGTCTACACTCAAGTTCCTGTCCGTGTCATGGGCCGAGTTAAAGTTGGACACGACCCTTGTGGCGATCCCCAAGCACCTAAGGACTGAAGAGCAGGAGGCTGGAGAGGCTCCAGGAGTTGGCCAAGACGCTGGACTTGAGATGGGCCTTGGCGCCCTGCCTCATTTCTGGCCATAACCCCCTTCCTGTCTTTATCTGTCTACTTTGTCAGGGCCGAGACTCCTGTCTCCACTCTCAGAAACACCGTCATCTTCTGTACATTCCCTCAGGGGACTTCTGGAGACACTACTGCCACCCCTCTTTGAATAGACAGGCTGAGAGGCTGGCAGGACTTTGGAAGGCATATAACAGCCATATAATAGCCTGAGGGAACTGGAGGCCTCAGGGCCACAGGACTTGCCCAGGAGTGCTCAGTGAGCTTCAAGCAGAGGGAGGTGGGACTCTTTCTGTAAAATAAATGATCAAAAATCACATGGATGAACTATCTGGTTTCTCTCATTTCTCCATCACCAATAAAAGAAAGACTAGGTTTTTTCTGGGGACGGGGAAAGAAACAGCTCTATGCAAATATATGCAAATGAGTGTAAATGAGGGGACTGATGGGTGGAGTGGGAAACTTCTTTCCCTGGGTACCTGTGCACATGACTCCAGCGAAGACCCAGCATTGGCCATATTTGACTGGCTTGAACCTGCCCTTGAACCACTTGTGCAGAATGGCCACGCTGCCACGCCAGTGCAGTGGGCTGGTACCGCCGCCGTACTTGCCCTGCCACTGGCCTTGAACCACACCCCGGTCATTGTTGCTGTTCACCTGGGCAGAGGAAGGCACAGGTCCACCACAAGGTAGGGCTCCCCTCTTTAGGAACCTTGCCATCATAAAATCATCTCTAACTTTGGACCACCCAGTCATCTGGGGTTACCCCTTGCTGTTAAACTGTCTGAAAATTGGGGCCACCTGCTGTCTTAAAATACCTACTTTTTGGTACCGTTTATTATTTTCAATTACCTTCCATTGAGATACTCTACTGTTGAAAATTATCTATGGTTTTAGAGCATTTCCTGTTTTAAGTGATTTTTTTTGGAGACTGTTGGTGGTGTAATAATTAGAGACAGCTAACATTCATTAAATGCTTACTATATGCCAGGCACTATTCTAAAGGCTTGGTGCACACTATAGTAACCTGCGTAAAGTAGGTTCTACTATTTTCCTTTTTTTTTTAGGTTAGAAAACAGATTCAGAGGGGATTAGAGACTTGCCCAAATTACACAACAAGTCAGTAAAAGTTCAGGACTTGAACTTGGGGGCCTGTGCGGCTGTCCCTCAGGGCCTTCGTGCTCTACTGTTTAGAAATGGTCACCGTTTTTGATTCTCTGTGCTCCAACTCTGAGGTCTTGAAGAACGGAGAGTATTAAATATGAGAAAAACATCTTTATCCATTTTTGGAAACTTGCTATAGAGAGAGTTACTATGCCCTTGGCTACCTTTTGAGAAGGAAGCACTATGTCATGGAATAGATTAAAAATGGCACCCCTCCCATGGGGATGTGGGTCTGTGTACCCTCTCTCTGAATCTAGGCTGGCCTGAGACTGCTTTGACCAATGACTATGGTGGAAGTGACCTGTGCCAGTGTTCAGGCCCAGGCCTTATGGGACTGGCAGCTTCCACTTCTTCTTTTTGGAATAATTGTTTGGGGAGAAGCCAGCTGCCATGTGTGATTACCCTGAGACTGCCATGCTCTGGGGAAGCCCAACCTAGCCACGTAGAAAGGCTGCATGAAGAGACAGAGTGATGACTGGCCAGCCTCAGCTGTTTCCATCAGCCCAGCCATCCCAGGCCAGACATGAGAGTGAGCAAGCCATCTCGACATTCCAGCTTCAGCAGACACTACATGGAAGAGAACCAAGGAAACACTGACTGCCAGAACCAAGGCCCCAGATATATGATCCTGTCAAACCACTCCAGATATCTGCAGCCATTCAGATGCCCCAGCTGAAGCATCTTGGAGCAGAGACAAGCCATCCTCATAGCGCCCTGCCCAAGTTCCAGATCTGCAAAATTGTAAGCATAGTAAATGGTTGTTTTATGCTACTGAGTTTTGAAGTGGTTCATTACACCACAATAGAGATTTAAAATAAGAGGTGACTTGGAAAAAATCATAGGGTGTGGCCCTGGGTTGGCCCAGAATCCAAAAAGGAGTGTGTATGCAGGGATGGTGGGGCTCCTCACCATGGCGCTGATGACCCTGGTGACATAGATGGGGTCGTGACGGCAGGACACATCGGTGGCTGGGTCGTCTTGGTGACTGGGGCTTCGGTCCAGGATTGAGAGGCAAATGTTCAGGATGTCCTCCTCAAACTGTCCCCAGAGAGGCTGCTTTTAGAGGCCGGAGCCTCACCCATATTCCAGACCCTCCCATGACCCTCACTGTCAATCACTTGGGTGGTGCAAGAGAGTTTGTCTCATCAGCCCCCCAGGGATACCACAGAGCATCTTCCTCTCAGAAGCCCTTTCTCAAAGAGTCACTTGGGAACCAAGTTCAACCTTAATCGAATCCCCTCCTGTTCAATAGCCCCTTACGGCTCCCTAATCCTCACAGTAAAGACTGTGACAAACTTGTAGCTCTGGAGTCACATTGACCTCACTGGCACGCACATTTGGTTTACAGGATTTTTAAAAACTACTTTGGAATTAATTGACACACTGCAGGATTCATGTAAAAAGTGGGAGATTTTTACATATGAATTAATATTTCTGGTCTCTGAAAATTTAGAAGGTCTGGGAACCCTCACTTTCCCACATGGCATTAAGAGGTGAGTGCTGAGACATGGTTACCGCTGAGGTGGGTCCTAAACTCTCCAGTGTATCATCCCTGCCCAGCCCCCAAGCGCCCCACCACGCCCCCTTCCAGGCTCCTCAGCCTGACAGTCAAGTTCCTTAACTTGCCTGGCCAACCTTCTTCTAGCTGGGCACCCTGAGCCCAGGCAGACAGAGCTCCTGTAGCAGAATCTCAGCTACTCCCTGACGTCCCACTTCCAGGCTGCTCTCTCTGCTCTTCCCTCTGCCTGTCCAGATCCCGCCCAACTTTGGCCACCCACTCCAAGACCATGAAGCCTTCCGCAGTCCCCAAGGTAGTGTTTTCATCTCTTCTGAACTTCCTTTTCTTCCACCTCTACCACTCTGACTTTCCTCCACCTATCCCTATAACTATTTATCTAAGTCAGTGTCTCTCAAGTGTGGCCCCAGACCCGCAGCAGTGGCAGCACCTGACCTCACCTACTGAATCAGCCATCTGTGTGTTTAATGAGTCCTCTGTGTGATGCTGGTACATGTTCGAGACTGAGAACCACTGATCTAAGCTATCTCTTTCTCTAGGAGAATTGACTCATTCTGTTTCCAAATTACATCCAAAGCACTTTGCCTTCCCAAGTACCCAGCACAGGCCCTGACACAACTACTAGTAGATGAATGAATAAATAAATGAATGAATGAATTTGCTCTAGGAGTCAGACAGCTTGTCCCTCCTGGGAAGAAGTGAGCAGACAGAAGGGTTCCTGGGCTGACTTTTTGCATGTCCAAGCCCACGTCCCCCTTCTGGCCTGTGCCCCTGGAGACCTGCCCGAAGTTCCAGCCTTGGGCTCGGATGCGCTTCTCCACGCCTCGGAAGATGATCCCGTTGTCATTGAGCACGTACTCCTGTCTCTCCTCCTCTGAGGCCAGAAACACGTCATCCTCTGAAAAGCAGTCATCAGGCCTGGCGTGGGCTGGGGCTCTGGCCTTGCCAACTTGGGGAAGGGGCTACGTCAGGGATCAGCTGCAGGACAGTGCCTGGAGGCTGACTGGGGCAGGAGAGGCCAAGAGGGGGCTTGCTGGGCTCCCAGGCTGCCTTGTAGCCAAGTCCCATTCCACCTGGCTGATCTTTCCCCAGGCTGGGACCAACCCAAACTAGCCCATGACTGAGGGATTTTAGGAGTCCTGATGCCTTTGGGTGACCCCACTAATGCCAACAACAGCTTTACATTTCTTAAATATTAATAAGAATACTGATCCCAGTACCTCTTATGATGTAGCTTGTACATTATAAGCATTAGCACTATGAATTCTCACCATAACCCTAAGAGGCAGGCACTGTTATTCCTGTATTACAGATGAGGAAACAGAGACTCGGAGGGAAGCAGTAGCAGCGCTGAGACTGAATCAAGGCTGTCAGAATGCTAAAGCCCAGGTCCTACTCACTCCTGGGCCTCTTGTGCCATCAAGCCTCATCCCTGCTCACTGGCCTGCGCACACCAGAAACCACAGATTCCTGTCCCTCTGTCACTGGCTCCTTTGTAGCACCAGCTACCAGGTTTCTCTGCCCGGTGTCTACCTCCACCTAGGCCCAGCTCTCGCCAAACTTTTGGCATTCACCTCCCTGTCCATTAACCTGCCTCCTAGGCCCCATTTAAGGGCAGGCCCTCCTCTGGGACAGCTTCCAGGAAAGCCTTGGACTCAGCAGCTCCTACCTGGGCACCATGGGTTGAAAAGAAGAACAAACTCGCCCAGCTTCCGGTTACTGCGTTTGCGGAGAGAGGAAACCCTGGCACTCAGCAGGTAACGGCCAATGATGGCACTGGGAGGGCTGGTGAGGCTGACAGTCACTGTGTTCTTCGTCTGAGCCTCCTTTACTGCTGTCCAGGCATCTCCCCGCTCCGCCTCCGGCTCTGATGTATGGAACACGACTTTGGTGTGGAGAGCCTCAGAAGCCTGGGGTCCTGGCAGAGAAGAGAGGGAATCAGGAGACCCAGCCACCTCTAGGAAACCCAGCTCTAGAGGAGTGGAAGAGCTACAGGCCTGGAAATGCACCCTTCACCCCATGAGCTGCTGGGACACTGTTGGGGGAAGGACCTGACCAAGGGGGCCCATGGCAGAATGGGGTACATCTCAGCTGTCCTGACTGCCACCCACCTCCTAGATCAATGAGAAAGTGACAGGACCCTTTGAGACCAAAGTCTGTCTGTCTGGCCAAGAAAGACAAACTTGGTCTCCAAAAGTGCCTGATGATTGCTTGTATCCTCCAAGACCCTGGATCCCTTGGTATCCTCAGGATTCCAGAGTTGTCATCTTATCTATCGCATTCCTAGCCATCCCCAGAAAGCTGTCATTAAAAGCTTGCAGGATTCAGGGCTCAGCCCAGCTACAGCGACTTGCTTTTCCTAAAGTCTGGGCTGACAACCGCAGGGACTCAGGTCTCTGGTCACGAGACAAGTGCTTCTGACTGCGGCCAGTGGAGGGCGCTGGTGAGCTAGTTACCTGTCTCGGCTGTGAAGACAAGCGTTTCCTTGCTGTCCAGGGGGCGATTCAGCTCCAGTATGAAAGTGAACATCTGGCCCCTGCGAACCACCAGCTCAGGGCCTGGGTACTCCTGGGTGTGGTGGGCAATACCATTCCTCGGCCACTGCCAGTCCACCGCAGTGACTCTGAACCCTGAGTTGGGAGAGGACAGAGAAGAGGCCAAGCCCTTAGCATATTTCTAATCCATGCCGGGCTTCAACCCACCAGACATTTGCTCATGCAGCCACTATTTATCTTATACAGTAGATTCCGGTTATTCGCTGTAATTACATTCTAAAAGTCTCCGTGAACACCAAATTACTGAATACTGAACCAATGTTCCTAGTGAAATACAGGGCTAGGTTCCTGTGAGCCTCTGGTTACAGCTTTGTCATCAACTGATCAATACATAACCTTGTTTTGTGTGTATTTCTGTGTAAAGTCATCTTATTTAACATATTGTTGATTCATTAACATTGAACTCATGGACAGTAGCACTATAATTCATAACTGAATGAAGCTTATCTAACACGGGTTTTCTCCATAAGGCACATTGCAGCCTCCCTGTGCTTAGGAACACTACACAATGCTCAGCACTATGCTTGGGGCTGTTTTAAACAGTGAAATCCCCAACAAAAAAAGCAAAAATGCAAAAAAAACACATGGCACTAAGTAAATCGTGAAAGGACACTTGTTCATAGTATGAGAGCAAAAACAAGAAGGTAGAGCATCACCTTGTTTGCCTTTAGTTGGGAGAGAACATGCATGTTAAGTGACTCCATTTTTCATCGTTCTGCACATGACTGCAAATGACCATGAAAGTGCCAAGGGTGTTTATTTGGAGTTAAAAATATATTTTAGAGAGTAGGCCAGTTGGCAAACATGGAATCCACGAATATTGAGATCAGCTGTATACTCTGTGCCAGGCTAGTGGCCAGCGCTGGGAGACATTGGTGAACAAAATAGATGTGGGCTTGCCCTGGAGGAATACACAGTGAGACCGTGTGGTTCAATGGCTGTGAGCACAGCCTCTGGGGTCAGCTGGTGTGGATTCAAATCCTGACTCGGTCATCTACTGATTAAATTACCTTCTGCTTGACCTCTTTGTACTTCAGTTTCCTCTAGAGTGGGAATAATAATACCTTGTGGAGTGAATGTGGAGGATAACTGCCTGTCATTTACAGCCTCGAGAATGAGAGATCAGTAAATGTTAGTTATTATATCCCAGACAAGCACGGGTGACACCTAAATAGGTGAGTCTACAAATAACTAATTATCATTCTGATGCATGCTGTCAAGGAAAAGTACATGGAATGGAAAGAACATATAAAGAGGGGCCTGGCCTGGTCTGAAGGGTGACAAGTGAGGCTTGCTTGAGGAAATGGCATTTAGGCTGTCTTAACTGGATGGGGTGTCTCCAGGGAACATTTGGGTATCATATCCAGTCTCAACCGAAGCATCTTCTCCCTCAATCTTTTCGGAGTTCATTTATTCAGGTGTCAGAACATTGTGCTGGGTGCTGCAGACTCAATAGTCCATGAAATATATATCAGCCCTGCCGCCAAGAAGTTGACAGTCCAGCAAAAGAATAGATATAACTCAAACATCTAACAGTAAGCTTTGAAAAGCGTCCTTACAGCATGGTACCTGGTTTCCCTCTGAGCAAGTGATTCAAGAGACCAAGGAGGAAGCTGCAATGCCTTTTATGACTTAATCTTCGAAGTTACACTCTGTCACCTCAGCAGTATGCTGGTCAAGGCAGTTACAAAGTCTTCCCAGGTTCAAGGGGAGGGAATACATCTCACCCCTAGATGAAAATCAGTTAATGTAACTTGTAAGAATAACATGCGAGATGAGATATATATTAATATGAATATCATGTGAAATAAAATCTGTCACACTTGAGAACCACTGGAGTAATGTCATCAAGTATTCCCTGCTCAAGGGCGCCAGCTCTTGGCCTTATTTTATTTGGTGCCTAGCATACCGTAAATACTCAGTTATACTTGAATGGACTATTAGATAGGTTTTATTTCATAAAACTTCCTATTTTATGAACAATGTAGATGTCTAACCAATGTACTGTATACTTGAAACTAATTTAAATAAATACATCTATTTAAAAAAACTCCCTATGTACCAAGTACTTTTGTAAATATTTTATAAATATTTAGCTCATTTAATCTTCATAAACCATACGATGGAGTATTATTATTATCCTGACTTCACAGATGGGGAAAATGAGGCTACAAGTTACACAGCCTATAGGTGATGGAGCTGGGAATCTGGCTCCCGAGTTTGTGCTTGTTTGGAATCCTTAGGCTATGCTGCCATTACCTTTGACCCCACAAGAGTCACAAACTCGGAAGTCCCAGACTCAAAACACAACATGGGCTTTGTCCATGCAAAGCAATGGTTCATCTAGGCCAAAGTCTAGAGAGAGACTTTGGTTTTTAAAAGATTCTAGAAACTTCCTATAACCTTATGGTTAGGAGAGTGGCTGAGTGTATTTTCTAAAAATGATTGCAATATATATCTTCCATCCCATATACTTTTCTTATAATGTGATGTCAATACTCCTCTCATCAAAAAGTGGGATATTTATTTCTTCCCCCTGAATCTAGGAGGACTTATGGCTAAAACAGAATGACACTTTGTGACTTCCAATGTTAAATTATAAAAGTTGATATAGCTTCTGCCTGGTTTTCTTGAGTTGCTTGATCCTGGAACCCAGTCACAGGTCATGAAGAAAGCCAAAGGGCCTGTGGAGAAGCCCACATGGAGAGAGACCAAGGACCCCAACCCACAGGCCACTGAACTCTCAGTAGACAGCTAGCACCAATTTGGCAGTCATGGGAGTGAACCATCTTGTAAACAAATTCTCCAGCTCCCAGTCACGCTGTCCCACCTGACATTGAATGAGGCAGAGACAAACTGTACCTGCTGAGCTCTGCCCAAATGGTAGGTTCTTGAGTGAGAGAATGATAGCTGTTGTTTTAAGCCTCTAAGTGTCGGGGTTGTTTGTTACACAATAGGAAATTGAAATATGGAGGAAGCCTTAGCAATAACTGAAATGGAGTTTTCCAACAAGCCCAGTAGGATCAGGACTCAAAGTTAGATTTAATTTGATTTAAATAGTATCAGTAAATGTGACATATCTTTTGCATCCAAGGTGGGGTTGTCAATTCATACCTGCTAAACTTTTCAACATGAAGCTCTGGTTTCTGGATGAATCTTTAGTATCTTCTTTTAATAATAACGTTCAGCTCTTCGTTCCAATACCCAAACACTAACTCAGAGGCTGAGTAAGGTTGTTTCAGGTGATGTGAAAGCCACCCTGCCCTCAACTATGATAATAAGAATAATAAAATGAATAGCTAACATATACAATACCATGAGTCAGACACTATCCTCTGTGCTTTATATTTATAAACCCATTCAATCTTGAGAATAGTCTTATGAGATAAATACTATTATCCTTCCCTATTTTACAGAAGAGGAAACAGAAGCACAGAGAGGTTAAGTAACTTGATAAAGGTCACACAGCCAGTAATGGTGGTACCAGAATTCTATCCTGCCTCTCTGATGATCAAGGGCTGAGACCAGGAAATGTCAAATCTTGAGTCGTTGGGGTATGGAATGGAGCAAACACAGGCTTTGGAGCCAGACGAATCTTGACCCTGACCCCAGTTTTGCTATCTATTGTATGTCCTTGGGCATATCAGTGTCCTGATCTAAAAATGGAGGTAATGATAACACCTACCCCACGGGATTCTTGGGAGGATTCAACCAAGAAAACTGCCTCTGTATGAAATCCAGTGGAGTGGAATTTGGCACATAGCAAGCACTCAGCAAATGTCATTTTCTTTCACTCTGGGACCTGCTCTCTTATACCATATGCTTCTTCCTCCTTTCCTGCTTGCCTCTGCCTTCTCTCATGGCCAAAGCCAAGGCCAAATCTTCTGTGCAGCCTGGGAGCTCTGAGCAAGGCCCTGTAACTAATTTTTCCCATCCTTCCACCATAGCTGAAATGAAACTGGTCCCAGGATTATTGTTCATCAGCATCTAACAATTATGAACCAGCCACAGTTAACTGTTTACAGTGGAGATGTAGCTACTCTAACCTTGGGGAGTAAGGTTGGCTTTCATGATTACTTGGGGTGCTTCTTCTCCCCCAAAGAAGGGTCTCAACTCTTCAACCTGGTTCTGGAGACTGCCACTGGGAACCTGCTCAGTTTTCCAATCTGTCATTCACTCATTCTGCTCCCCTCTCTCATTTTCTCATTCCTGGATCCTAGAGTAGAAAATCTTAGAGTCATTCAGACCTGGGTCAGAATCCTAGATATGTCACTTGCTTACCATGTGTCCTTCAGCATGACTTAACCTCTCTCATCCATGAAATGGGTATAATAATGGCTTTCATCAGCTTTAATAATGAGATTTAATAAGATGATATCTGAAAAGCATTTGGTACATAGCAGGTGCTCTTTAAAAGTTCATTCTGTTTCTTACATGGTGTGATGATTAATTTTATGAACCAACTTGGCTGTTCAGATATTTGGACAAAATTATTCTGGATGTTTCTGTGAAGATGTGTTTCAGATGAGATTAACATATAAATTAGTGGAATTTAAATAAAGAAGATTACTTTTCATAATATGTGTGGGCCTCATCCAATCACTTGAAGGCCTTAATAGAACAGACAGATCACCCCTGATCAAGAAGGGATTCTACCAGCAGACTGCACTGGACTTGAACTGAAACTTTTCCTTGAGTCTCTAGCCTGTCAGCCTACCCAGCAGATTTTGGATTTGCCAGCTCCATAATTACATGATCTCTCTTTCTCTCTCTCTCTTGCTCTCTGTCTCTCCCCACGTACACACACACATCTCTGAAGAACCCTGACTAATACACAAGGTGAATGTAGAACATCGTCTTTTTCAAAGATGGCTTAACTAATTTATATAGATGATAGATGGATTGATTCCATCCTACATGCTTTTCTTATGTGATTGAAACTCCTCCCACTGAGAGGTGGGGCCTATGTCCTCTTTTTTTGATTCCGAGTGGGAGCTTGACACTGTTCTGACCGATATATATGGCAGAATGTGAATGCCATATGCCTTCTGATACTAAGATATAAACAGGATATA